CACAATCGCACCCACGCGCAACAATTGCATCCAGCGCGCAAGCTGTTGCACCCATGCACCCACTATATCAAGTACTACTGCACCTATCCCCGCGGACCCATCTGCGCCAGACCCACTTCTCCAGCTTAAAAGCTTCAGGGGCAACGTCAGGGGCGGACGCATCGACCCTCAATCGCCCACTCATCGCCGATGAGGGCCCGACGGCCCACCCCGCCCAGGAACCTGCGGACTTGCTGCCGGGGGCCTAATTATCGCTGATCTGTCGGAGGTGCCTCGCCGATGCCTGCTCGACGCTTCCCCCCCCCCCCCTGAGCCTGAGCCGCTCAGCCCCCCCCCCCTTAACGCTCCCCCTCACGGCTGCACGCAGAGGTAGCCCTTCGCCGCAGTGACCTCTGGCGCGCGCCTCCGGGGGGGGGGGGCGAGGCACGCAGGCCGCCGCGGTCGCACCGCGCGCAGCGCTCGGCAGGCCGCGCACCGTCGCCTCGGGTCGCTCTTGGCGCGCTGCCGGCGGGGCCCCTCTCCAGCGCGCCGCCGGGAGAAGCGGCGGGCCTCGCCGGGAGGAGGGGAGGAGGAGGAGGAGGAGGAGGAGGAGGAGGAGGAGGAGGAGGAGGAGGAGGAGGAGGAGGAGGAGAGGAGGAGGAGGAGGAGGAGGAAGGACGAGGACGAGGACGAGGACGAGGAGGAGGAGGAGGAGGAGGAGGAGGAGGACGACGAGGAGGAGGAGGAGGAGGAGGAGGAGGAGGAGGACCTGGGCGGCCGGGGTAAAGGGAGGAGTCGCCGCCCCGACCGCCGTGGCTTCGGCGTGCCAGGCCGTCCCGCGGCGTCTGCTGGGCAGCCTGGTCCCGTGCGGTTCCTTCGTGACGGCCAGGGCGCTGAGTTTAGTGACCACTTGTCGCCGCCGACCAAACCACCCCAACCCAACCCGAAGGCCTCAACTTGCCCTCCATTTCCAGTGTGGGGGGGGGATCGGGGAACATCGAGAAAACACGTATGGAACCCGTACCCCCCCAACCCGAAATTCGGGTCTTCGGGTTGGGTTGGGGTGGTCTGGTAGGTAGTCAACTTGGGGCTCAGGAGGGGCGTTGTGCGTAGTTTGCACTGGTAATTCGTCGATGCCGTTGTTTCGCGCAGCCTTCGTTTCCGTCCCCATTGGTGGGGCTTGCGGCTCTTCGAGCCACCCTGCCGGATTTGCTTGCTTGCTTGCTTGCTTGCTTGCTTGCTTGCTAGCTTGCTAGCTTGGGACGAATTCAGGAGAGCCCGACGAATACCTACCAATCCAGCACGCCAAGCACCCCTCTGGTAGGCTACAGGTGCGGCGGATGTGGTGGCTTTGGCCGATCCCGCCGCCGTGCTTCGGTCGTTCGGTCGTGAACGAGAGGCCTTCCTGGAGGCATCCTTGGGGGCCTCCAGGGGCCTCTTGGGTGCCTCCGAAGCCTCTTGGGAGCCCCATGGGGACATCTTGGACGGAGAGCGAGGGAGGTGGAGGCTGAGGAGGAGGAGGAGGAGGAGGAGGAAGAGGAGCAGGAGGACCATCCTCGGAAGGTGGCGGCGGAGAAATCGCTTGCTATGCTTCAGTGGGAAGGGGCCCCATTTCGAGGAGTGTGTGGCCGCAGTCTTCGGTTTCGGATCGGTGTCTGGTACTGATTTTTGTTGTTGGTCGGTGTCCTGCGCTTCCATGCGGGAAATTGTGGCTGCGTGCAGCTGGTTCAGCGGGAGAAGCGGGAAGAGAAGGAGGAGGAGGAGCAGCAGCAGCAGCAGCAGGAGCAGGAGCAGGAGGAGCAGGAACAAGAGCAGGAGCAGGAGCCGTGGCAGGAACAGGAGCAGGCGCATGAGCAGGCGGAAGAGGAGGAAAGCGGAGCAGCATGCGGGAGGACGCCAAGCGGACGACCAGCGCACAAAGATCCGAACAAATCCTTGGGGGCGCCTCTTTGCCTCGCGGGCTCCTCGCCCCCCCCCCCCCCCTCCCCCGGCGTAGCTCCGACCGCCGCCCCTCGCCTGCCGACCGTCGCGGCCTCGGCGCCTCATGTGCAGCGAACGTTGAGCTTGGCATCGTTCGTTCGTTTTTTTGTTTATATATATATATAGATATATTAACAATAGGAAACGGATCATACGAATCGTGATAATAATACTCGCAATAGATATACATTAGAATTGGTGAGGACCAGCGAGGAGCATCCTGGATCATCGAGCCAAAAACGAAACACGCGCGACATCGAAGATTGAACGGGGAATGGGCGCCCGAGCGATGGCGAACACGGGGGGGATAGGTTCGGGGGGTGAGGCACCGGCCCCAACTCGCCAACTGATCGCCGATGGGGGGCCGCTACCTTTTGAAGGATATGGCCAGGGGATATCTAGCGCGCTCCTCGGCTGTCTTGGCTCGGAGTGGGCACACCCAACGTGACGCCGCACAACCGCGCCGCCTATCCGAGAGGAAAATATGTCGCTACCAGTAGATTCCTCGCCAATCACCACTACATCCTTGTGCGCATATGTT